CAATTATTCCACTCGCGCTTGTTGGATATGAGATGATTCCGACAGAATTAATTCTTTACCGACAGACCGAAACAGACCAATCACGACCGACTTACGTCACTTGAGTCTTACAGCCAATAACATCACGGCAAAACCAACCGATCATTTCACACGAACTGGAATAAGAACATTCTACTGACAACAATCATTCACTTGACTCTGATGATGACTTCCGCACAGGTTGTCGAAACGTCAGTCACTGCCACCGACAACAGTCCTTCTCAGGACTACACTCACCCGGACGATCAGACTACACCTTCACATGTTACCCCCGGGTTCAAACCATTTACTGCAAATCTCAGTGCGTTTGGTGCGAATTATCACGACCTACAACTAGGTTAAGGTTCTTCAGACCAAACCTTTAACCCGTTTGAACGTTAACATCGAATTTGCCTTACCCCCGGCTAAAGTTCTGCTTGATTGCATCCTGAAGTATTGCTGACTCAGCCAAACCTCCAACAAGGAAAAAAAATTGCAGCTCACGAAGCATACGATGCTTAAGGAGGTTGTTCAGGTGCTTCACTATTCCATTCAGAACTGGTTCAAACAACTTTTTCATGGCCGCTGGTCCTATACAGAAGTACTCATTTCGGACGAATTGGACATCGTCAGTTCTACAGGAACTTGTAAATCGTCTTGCCAGATCAGGCCCACCTTGTTCTGAAACCAGCGCTGTAAAGGTTCTGGGAAGGCGAATTCTCGTTGTTTCGCCCTTGTAAGCTCAACGCCCTCGCTTCTTCATCTCAAATTCATTCATCATCTCAAGCCATTCTGCTGGGTGGTTGTCACGGAAGTTTTTTACTTGAGAAGTTCCGAAAAACCTCTCAAGCAGGGAGACGAACTCTTCGTCAACTTTAGTTCCACCATAAGGTCCACCGGTTACTTGATGGATTTCTTTAATGTTTCCATTTGTTAAGATTTCGTGAGCTGTGACATCAAGAGTCCCGCCTTTATTAAAGTAGAAGAGATGTAAAAACAGTTAAACTACAGCCTCAGCACCTACTTTAATTTCATATTGTTTAAGTTAAACATAGAGCGCACTACGAGCTCAGTGCCGTTTTTGTTTGACTTAATTTCAGAAAGACGGTTAACATAAGTTTAGGTCCTTTTCCGCCACTAAGACAATGTCCCACTGGTTAAACAAAATTATGTAAATGAAAACGCCCCACCACTGGTTTCATTAAGCCAAGTTTTGTAAATCTTCGAAGTTTCATGGGAAACCGATGTGAACTAATAGTTTTACCATAAACTGAGTGATTTGCAACTTGAAAGTCCGACCTTTTTTAAGAGAATTTACCAAACATCGCAAAACAACCCGATGTCTCTACGAACAAATAAACTTTTAAATGATAAAGAGAGGAAAATTTTTTTCACTGAAGAATACTAAGTTTTTTTTTTTTAATTTTTTTGGCGTGATTTCCTCAGAATGGTCCATTATTTTGAATATTTAATCTTGCCTCCGATATCAACAACAAGGTATTTTGACTCAGGCCGAGCAAAGACGTCAGACACACTGGCATCTCCTTTCTCATTCGTGAATTCTCTCATCTTCATTTCTCTGCAGTACATAGAGGCTGCTTCTGGTTCCAAAGCAATAAGCAGCTGTTCGGGGTTATCATTCAATGCCATCTCCGCCTTCCAAAACAGAGGCAAAAGAAAGAAAAGTTACGGAAGGAAACAAATTTCAATAAACACTTTAATCTAGACCTTGATTTTTTTCTTGTTTGGGAACACTTTCAAGGGGTTAAAAAAAAACAAAACTTGTTGCATTTCTAATATTGCGCTGATGTTCATTAATGGACTACTGCAGAGTACCCTCTTTCTTCCTCATCGCGCATTTTCTTTTCACCTCTTTCACTCATCTATAATTACCTTATAACAATATTATAGATAATAACATATCTATAATTACCTTATATGCGGCTTCTCTCATGAATTGCTTAGCGGCGGGTCTCCAAATGGCAGGTACTGTTATGACCCATCGAATGTCCTTTTCATTATACTTTTCGTCTCCAGTTCTCTCGCGGATAATTTCGATAGCTCGATCTTTGAGAAACCTCATTGAGTGGGCAAAAACAACCAAAGCATCGACTGTTTTCCCATTTCGAGCCGTCAGCTTGGTATTTCTGTCAAGTGTCTGTGATAGGAGAAGATGAATTTACAAATACTATGCCCAATACTTTTGATAAGAATTAATTTCAATGGAAACCTTGAACCAAAACTGAAATTCAGCGTACATATTTGTCCTGGTCTCGAGGACCCAGAGTTTGTATTGTGACGAGGAAGCCTAAAAAATTAGATGTAAATTACTCTTTTTGCTCTTCTTGTAGCTGGTATTTGTTACGTGTATTACCCTAAGATCATTTTCTGAAAGGGAATGGCGTTGAGGCGGGGTAGTTCACTGATTTGAGGTGGGTTTTTTTCACCCTCAAATCGATTGGCCTAAAAGACGTGTCTCTCGACCGAATTTGCCCGCCAGAAAGTAGGTCATATCGGGTCACTCAATGATATTCGCCAAGCGACATCTCCAATTTGCAAAGCATGTGTCCAATGTGATGAATCTTCCTTTGAAACGGTTTATTCAATTTGAGAAAGCAATTTTGCTGATACACATGAAGAAGACCAAAACTTTTTTTTTCATAAACTTGCCTTTTAAAAGTAAGACAGAAAACTGTCTGGGTAAGTTTCACTCCGCGCGCTGCCAAGAGGAAAAAGAATGAACGAACATTTACCCCTGACTTGTGAAGTTCCATTTTGAAATGTTTGAAGTAGAGATAATCTCGATCTTCACCACAAGAGAAGCTGGCGTACTTTTCCTCCGCTTCGTATCCAAATGAATCAAATTTGCCATCTAGGCGAAGAAGCAGAGAGGTGGGTGTCTTAAGGGTAGCAGCTCCCTGGTCATTTCCCCACGCTTTGTTCATATGGATACCTCCTTTTCCTTTCTTGTGGTTGAAAGCAAAAGCAAAGCCACTGTATGTGGTCCCAAAATCAATAGCAACCACGGCTATGTACGATGAACTTGCAGAGAATAACAAACCTTCCGACGCTGCAAAACAAAGATAAGGAATTTAAGCAAAGTCGATATTTTCCTGATCACAACCACACAGGAAGACACGACCGGCATGCATGAGTAGTGGCTTTTTATTAAGTTTGAAAGGAAGCCTGAGAATAAAATAGTTGGATTTCGTCTCTATTTAATGAAAATAAAGGGTGTAGCTGCTCAGAGAATTCGAAAAAATGATACAAGAACATTTACGAAAGAAATTAACATCATTAGTTAAATCATGCCGAAGAATAAAATTATGTAGTTTCCGGCCGGAAGGCAAAAGTTGTGTGTTTTTTAATTAATTTAAAAAAAACTGCTTAATTAACATAGAATAGCTCTTACCTTTCCTTTTAGTGAAATAGAGAAGTCTAGCAATATAGATCTTTAAGCTGACCAGAACTCCTACCTCTGGTAATTCTTTGTTTAGTAGATAAAGGTTCTGCGCTTGTTTGATGATAAAAAAAACCTTTCTTGGCGAGGTTTACTTGCTTTCGAGTCCGTACATCAATACTTTTACATGCTATCTACTTGTATATTTACTTTAACAAACCTGAAAAGTTGAGCGGCCCGTTAGCATTCAGGATCTTATATCAACAATCGAGGGGTTCGATAACCGAAAGTAATTAATTTCCGGGCATCATAGGTTTGTCTCGTTCTCATATCAAACTCCTGTGACTCTTACAACCTTGTCGATGATTCTTCGAATCAATAATTGATCAATGAAGGAGATGTAATTTACAGTAATTGAAGAGATCAAACCTGGCTGACATTTCACAAAGTTTTGTTTCGTTAACCAGTTTTGAAACCTTCTGTTACAACGTGAACATGATACGATGTTATCACATGAGATTTACTTCGTTTCGCTCGAAAGAAAAGGTATGTTTATAATTTTTTAAAGTAAAGAACGATCTTGATACCTACCACTCATACTGCTTTCTAATGATTCCTTAAAACGATAAAGAATCTCTTTGTCGACCACACTAGACAAAATGCTATTATGCTATTCCGTGAATTTTTCAGTTCCTCTTTTTCCTGGAATGCCCTTTGTCGTAGAGGAATTTTAACTTGTTTCCGGTTCTGGTCGCATTCTTCCGGAAGTAATCTTTGAAAAAATGATATATGAATCTATCTGTCTGTTTTCCCAGCTATCTAAGTCGTGTAAGAGCATGGCAGTGCAATAGGAGTCTCTGTAAAAAATCATAAAATAAACAGTGCAAGGATCGTCTTTAACTGAAACACTGAGAATCCACCAACAGCTGAAAATTTCATGATTCATTTTATTTTTGCTAAAAGACACTTTAATGAACTTTTTTCAAAAATTATATCAAAAAGTTCAACCGTGCTTTGCTTTTTCTGAAAAGTGGGAAAGTTCAAAATATGCTGGATGGCCGTATCTGCCTCTTAAACAATGAAAAGGTATACTAATTTGGCAACTTCGTACTTCAGAACGCCATCATGATTCCCACTTTGAAATTTTGCGTGCCTGAAAACGGTCCTTTTCTCTCTTTGAATGTATACACTAATTTTTCTGTTGTTACGTTTAAGTCAGAATATCGACAGTTAAAATAATTCACCTTATATATTTTTCGCAGAGTTAAAATAAAGGTCAACTTTATAGGCCTCTGACAAGGTTTGCCATACATGAGCCCGAACCCCTTTTCAACTTGGATGTACCGCTTATGGCTGGTTAATAAAGAAAATTTAAAAGGATTAAACTACAAAGGGTAATAGATCCATGATTATCGTCACAAATATAGAACAAGTTTCTACACTATCTAAGTAAAAAAAAAAAAAAAAAACAGTGCTTGTTTTATGTCTTCTATGATACAAGTGTTGTAGGTGTGGTAGATATAGTTTGGTGTAATAGCGGAGCTCGCAGCGCGCGAAGTGCATACTTATTGAAATGGTAGTAATAATAATAACAGTAAACCATCAAGTCGAAAAGAATTTGGTCGTACGACCAAATTTGGGCTGGCTATACCGTCCAACCATGCCCACAAGTTGCTACTTTTAGCATGCGTGACCTGCATTGCGGGCTCGAATCTGGCCATTTCGTAAGTAGTATAGAAACGATGAAGGAAACATGCATGCGACACGGATTGCGTAACTTACAAAATCCCATTTTTGTACGCTAGGAAACTCAAGTGCAATGTAATGAAGTGCGCACACTCGAATGCTGAACTGTGGTGCAGCGTATCATTTTAGTGTCACAAGGATGTTCAAGAACTAATAATTTGACCCAGGGTGATAAGCAAAATGCGAAAAGATTAAAAGCAATAATAAGTGAAGAAATTAGTAGAATAGGTCTTATTCCTATTCTTTGGAGGTCATGGGGCCTCCCGGTTAGATCAATGGATAGAGCGCTGGACTGTTGTACGGGAGGTCGAGGGTTTGAGCCCCGGCCGGACCAACACTCAAGGTCTTAAAATAATTGAGAAGAATTTGCTACCTTTCTATAACATCAAGAAATGGTTAGATATTCTAGTCTTCTCGGATAGGGACGAATAAATGGAGGTCCCGTCTCCTGCAGGGTTGGGGTAGGAGACGTTAATTTCCCACACACGAGATTACTGTGTGATGGATGTCCTCCCCTGGGGTGGGATGGGTGGGAAGGTGAGATCGATAGACTGAAGCGGCTGCCAGAGGCACCTGATATGCTGACGTCTGTTCTCAACCTTACACTGCACCCGTAATTCAGCCTCTGGGCTGCAAGTGGTCAGATATAAACTATATTCATATTCATATTCATATTCCATCAATCGTCGACTTAAGGTTCGTTTTGTAGAAAGCTTCATGAAAAATTGGCTGTTACAAATTTTACGAACTGAGTGTTAAGGATAACTCACCCATCCAACAATCAGCAAGCATCGTAATTTTTTGTTTATTTCTACGGGTTGGTTGTCTATGGCCTTAGTTTTCATACAAAGATCGAGTAAGCTGCTTTCAGTGAAAAATAGAAGAGTGGGGAAAAATTTAAAGATCAGAAATACCGACGTAAACACCTTTAAAACACTCCGCCTCAAATTTAATATGACTCAATACTAGTATAGCCTTCCACAATCATGATCATTTTTACGGAAAAGTAATTCAGAGATAACAGCTAGCTCTATATCCACTTGTTGCTGCTTACATTCGTAAATTGTACTAATTTTCATATCAATAGATAAATGAATAGAAGTCATATTTGTTAGGTATCACGAAAATTCATCGGATAATGAAAGAAACCATTTGTTTTAGTATAGTTAAAAATTTACAGGTAGTTTGGAGGGACCGCTGTTGCCACCGGTAAAGCTATACTTCAATTTCTAAAGTCATTCTCTGACGCAAATTTCTACAAATCTTTATCACTTTCAATCAGTTGCAAAGTTGCAAAGTGCCTGAATTTTCTAAGTGCTTGCTAGAAAGTCCGGATAAACCGTGGATTGTCGGTTACTCGTACGATTAACAGCCATGACCTTTATCTCAATTCCACCAAAGAGCAAATGTATCTCAATGTCTTTCGTTTTCCATGCCTCCGGTGTTTCAATCACTAATCTACGACCGGGGGCCTTGCGCACCTCAGGATCTGTCACAAACTCTACATCTGGACATTCTGATTGGTAGAAATTGAGCTTTACTTGCTTCTCTACGCCCGGTTAGGGGCGAAAAACCAGTGAATAGACGCTTTTCTCCAGCTTTTACTACTTCATTCACTTTAACAAACTTAAAAAATACATCTTTACAGCGTGGGATTCCAGCTATTATTTCCTTTTTCGATTCAGGATGTAACCTGTCTAGGAAGAGCTTATGAATACGGATGCTTTGGGTCGTAGTCATTATCCTCGACTCGAAAGTCAGTTAGGTCTCTGTCCAAACATCACTATACCTTGGACATCTGCAAGGGATGCGCAGTTTGGGATTAAAATGCGGTAGGTACGGCCGAAGTGCTCCTTGATTCTTTTCTGTAAAACAGCTGAGTCAGGAAACCGCCTACGAGGAATGCAAACTTGACCTGAGACAATCCTGGTTTTTTGAGAAGGTTAGATAGGTGGAAAATGATGTCATCCAAGACGGTGTTGCTGCCTCATAACCTCCGGTTCAAGGCAGAGGTACTCGTTACATAGGACTTTGATTTGATTCAGGCTGTAATGCTGATGAATGGCTGTGTTAATTTCCCAACCTTTATGGCTGGGAAATTTACTTATGAAAGTACCAAGCAATCGAATTCTTGTCGTGCCCCCTTCACAGAAGCGCTTCCCGCGTTTCTTTACTTCGAAATCACCCATGAGACAGAGCCAATCCACCGGATTGCGACGGGTATAGCTATCAATAAAGGATTTGGAGAAAATTGTTTCAAAAAGGATTCTGAACTACTAGTCAGGTGTGATGACCATTACACTATCAGGACAACCATGCTGGCAATACGGCAATCAAAGATGCGATTTACGTGATCGGAGACGTGGTCTCCCGGGAAATTAAACTTTTCAAGGTGACCGGGTAGGGGAAGCCTATAACCCTATATGAAACCCAACTAAGGATCTATTAAAGATACACGACCGAAGTCAACTTAGTGGATCACAAAGGAGGATCCAATTACGGATACAGGCTAATTTCAATTAAACAAATTCTGTATGAGAAAAGTGGACATCATGGCTCGCCAGCGAAAAATCATGTAAATTCTCTTTCTTCAATCATTTGCTGTATCAACTCAAGGACTACATTAAGGCGTGCATCCGGCTAAATTGGCGTATGGTCGTCCAGGTTCCACCCATGCAACTGGAGTATACAAGTACCACTTTAAAAAAATTTCCACAAGAATGTTGGATACCACAGCAGTCCAGAAATGTGTTCAAGGCCCCCTCCAAATGGACAAACCGCGCCTAAGGATGAGATTGCTTGTTACTTGTGGCCTGCCTTCATAGATGGAGGAGGACGACTCATTCGAGCAGGAGAAGTCCTCTGTAAAGTGGAAGCCGAAGCTGTGTAGAAGCTGAATTGAAATTGGTGTATGAAGGGTAAATTTTGCCAGTGATTGGCGGAAAAGGGGGCCCCTATTTCTTATTCTTCTCAAACATTCATTTAATAGGCAAATAGCAGTGCTGTCCCTTATTCGAAATTATTTAAAATGTTGGTGAAATCATTTTTGATTCAAATTCTTTTGCTCGGAATTTAATGAAGCTCCTCTAACATGACGAAGCATGAAATGCTTGATTGACAGAAATTGTAACCGTATCACATGATACTAACACTGGTCTTATTCTGGTAGAAAGGATTGTATAGATCACTCTAGATTCAGCCCAGGAGTGTAGGAACTATGAATTAGAATGACTGCATCTTTGTGTTTAACTACATGTTATTAGTAGAATGAAATTTTATAAAAAGTTTAGCAGAAATTCCAATATTTCTTTGGCTTTTGGAAATAACAGCCCCATATGTAAACATGCGTGGACTTCTATTTTAGCAGAAAAGTGTTAATTAATTGATCTCCAATGTATCAGCCTCAATAAAAAGGCTAATATTGAACCAATTTACTCTCGCCCAATAGTTGTGACTGAGGCTTAATATTAGAGTTAATGTGGGACTTTCCTGTGGAAAGNTGTCGGCAGGAAGAGACGAGTTCGTTACGCTTGTTGAGTGTTGATAGGTCTGGATGGCAGATGATTAGGAATTTCTGAGTGTGTATGGAGTTTAACTGATGAGTGGATCAACTTTTCTTGGTCTACGAAACAGGCTGTATTAAAATCCATATGTACGTAACTTGAGTAGTCCATTTGCTACTATATATAGATAAATATATATATATATATAGAATAAATGTCTGAAAAGAAAATTTGCCCTGAGCGGAATTTGAACCCACGTCCCTCCTGTTACTCGTCAGGTGTGATGACCACTACACTATCAGGACAACCATGCTGGCAACACGGCAATCAAAGATGTGATTTACACGTCTCCCGGGAAATGTAAATTTTCAAGGTGACCGGGCA